AGCGAGCTTACGAGATCCCACCAGTGCAGCAAATCGTCCAGGAAATCCCACCACCAAGACACGTCGTTCAAGCTCTGTTAGCTCAGAGTCATGCTCGATCTCAGCAAGGTAACATTTTCCGAGGACTAGTAATTGTTTCATTCGACAAATTCGAGATGCGTCGTATAGCAAGGTCTGATATCGAGTCGTGATTTTTAGGGAAAGAACTTTGCGACGAATCAGTTCACAGCTCGACCGATAGCGTTCCTCCTTTGCAAGCGATGTCTAAGAGATTAACTTACCGTGAGCAGCAGAAAGCTCTAGGAAAGCTTGCCGTCGGCGAGACTTCGCGGGCTCCTCCTCCAGATGGAGACACATTGATGGCCAATGCTGCTGAGGCTCTGGCCTTGGCTCGTCAATCTGAGAACGAGAATCGAGCTTCGGTTGGTGTTGAGATGGCTAGCCAGGTCAACCAGGATAACGCTGCTGTCGTTAGTTCAAGGTCTCACGATGATGATAGTAATGGTAGCGTTCGTCGTTAGAACAAGAGGCCGAGACAGGACCGGAGGAGTGATGGTAACGGCGGCTAGTCCATAGCTCCGGATCGAACAGAAAGCCTTTCTATTGGGAGTTCAAGAACTCGGTTGATGGTCCGGTTCTGAACTATCGTGGTGGCGTTGGTTATCTGCAGCGCCCTTTCAAGGGAGCCGGTGTTAATCTTCCTCCAATCGAGAAGATGTTGATGCGGCATCTATGGATGAGTACAAGTAATAATTCCCTAAGACAACTAGTGTTGCAAGTGCACAACATATAATTGTAGTATTTAGGGGTCGAACCACAAGGGATTGGATTTCACACATTACATAATCATAGAGTTCAAATGACTAAGCTAAATCAAAAGATGCAAGGGTTTGTGTTTGTTTAGAACACGCAAAAGCAAAAACAATGCAATTCTATACAAGCAACATTATTGAACTATTGAAAACTCTTTTGAAAACATGAGCCAAGTCGATTGAAAAGTTTGTTAAAATCCGATTCTTTTGAACTCAAAACACTAAGGAAGGATTATTCCACTTTCGTGGTTCCAATCCCCTATGTCTCTTAAACCAATGGGCTCAGCTTTCGTTGGTCATTGTAGAGTGAGACATGCATTACATCCAAGTAATGATTGTTCACAAAACTCTTTAGGTCTACTTTCGTAGCCTAAAACGATTTGCCCATCAAATACTTATCCGGAGATATAACAAGCTTTTGGAGAGTATATCAACCTAAAATCAAGTCACTAGTTAGCTACTCTAGCAACAAGCATTAAGCATAAATAAAGATGGAGAACCATAGGGTTTCCCCTTTTAACAATCGATTCAAGATGGCCATTATATCACGTCCTCATTGGAAGGATCCATAATTCAACAATGAGTCTTAGATAGTAGATGAAGTCTCATGAATCCTTAGAGAGAGAGGCGGCGGAATATAGACTAAACCGCCTCACCCTTAGGGAGAAATCTCTACTTCTAGACTATATAAATTGAAACATGCAAGCTATATACAAATGCAAAAAAAGAAGAAAAGAAAGAAGAAGGAGACCACCTAAGTGGCTCCGAACTTTATTGAATAATATGTTTCTTGTTATGTGGTGATTCTATTACAAGAGGCTAAAAGCAAGTATATATAGGTAGAGAGCGGGTCTAGGTCGGCAAAGTTGAGCGCGCGCAGAAGAGGAAAGTTTCCATTTCTCTTTAGCCGCTTGAGCTTGCTCTCCAAGTTCTTGAATGGGCCGCGTTCAGGCCAATGGAAGCTTCTGGATTGAGTTATGCTAGTGTCAAGATGAGCCAAGGCCTTGGGCGCGGTATCTCGGGCCTCTTGATCCATCAAAGTCTCCATGGGCTCTACTTAGGCGCTTCGGACATGTCTTGGTAGAAAATAAGTTCCGGTCCAACGAGTGATCCAAATGACCTCTTTCCACTTCGCCGCGGGTCATGACTCAAATATCTATCTTTCCATATAAGAATCATGACTTTTGGACGTCGGGAAGGCATGAATGCGGTCGTACTTCGGATGCTCCGGTTTGGTCTTTAGCGAGTAGATTTGGTGCTCTAGACTTGGGAACTTGGTGATTTGACTCTTTTGCTCCATTTTGACTCTTCTTTGCTATTTTGACCTGAATGATGCTCAAAACCAGAATATACAAGAAAACTACCTCTTGGGCTAAAAACCACATTATTTGTATTGAAAACATAGTGAAAACCTTGATAAAAACATGAAAGATATGGTATATCAACTCCCCCAGACTTAGCCTTTTGCTTGTCCCCAAGCAAACTAAGAGAGGAAGAGAGGTTTGAAAACAAGAACTCTCAAATCATTAGGAAATCCGGGTTGGCTTGGTTTTAGTAATCCACATGAAAGTAGTAAAGGCAAATTTTGAATTAAGAACAAGAGTACATACCATGAGTTTTGCGATTTTTCCAAAGCGGCCCACCTCTCCTTTGGACAATCCAATTCACCACTCCTTGACTCCTTTCATTTCTAAAGGTGTGGTCTCAACTAGGGAGTATCGATCAGCCGGCTTTAGACTCTTACTCATCCCCTTGTTTTGGCACTTGTCTTTTTACTCCATGTTTCTCCTCTCTCTCTTCTCACTTCTTTGAGTTGATTCATCCCTTTTTTAGGGTAGCGAAGTATTTTTTTTATTCAACTCCTTCTCTTTATTATAGAGGTTTTGCTTGGATCTTCCATAGACGCGAGTATTGATGGTGTTTGCCACCGAATCCCCGGTTGCTTGGATCCATAGGCCTTCCATAGACGCGAGTATTGATGGTGTTTGCCACCGAATCCCCGGTTACTTGGACCTTACGCTTTTTCTTTAAATTGAAGGGGAGAGAGAGGGAAGCACGAACTCACTAAGACTTTTTCATTTGATGGAGAGGATGAGGAATCATGCCATTTGTATGCCAAGCCCCTAGCTGAGAAGATTAAGTTCATTAAGGGCGGAGTCAAGAGTGGATCCTTCTCAAGTCCTTGGAGGTGTGGGCGTTTTTGGTAGATCGATCAACTCATAGTGTCCCTGTGGTAAGATGTATTGCCAAACTGCTTCAATGGTCACTTAAACCACTACAAGAAATATGGGCATTGATAGCACATTACCATAACACGGTTTTCGTAACTGCTATTAAAAAGGGAATGTTAAATTAGGATACCATATTATAGCATTTTAAGAATGCTACATCGAAATTTTATGAAGCGGGAACAAAAAATTGTCTTTTGGAGCCCAATTTCTGTAGTGGCCGCCAACACTTAAACAAAAAACACAAATTAGCGGTAGCTGCCGTTGTGGATCATCTGAAATAAGAGTTTCTTAGACTTTGTTGGTAGCTGCACTTGTGTTGTTACTCTTTTTAAGACTTATGTATGGTGTGGTGGATTATGAGATATATATATATATATATATATATATATATAATTTTCAATATATGCAAAAAGGTTCCTTTACTATTATGTATTATAAATACAATATTAATCACATCGAATAAGAATCATTATAGTAATAATTATTGCTTCAATAAGCTGCTACAGAACAATGGATCATAGCTTAGTAAATTAGCTATAACTAATAATACTACAGCACCACAAATATGATATGATATCTAATCTAATAGCATTCAAAATGAGTTATAACAAAATATAATACAGCACATAAATGTGTTATAGCAAAGGATGTTAGAGCATTCTAATAACGCTATAGTAGATAAACATTTAATAGCACATTGAAAAAGTGCTATCATATGGGTCTGACCTACGATAGCTCCGACTAACACAGCGTTTATGAAAACGCTATCAAACATATATTATAGCACTAATCGTATGCTGTCAATGAGCATATTTCTTGTAGTGAACGTTAGCACAACAATGGTTAGCTCCAAGATAAGGTCATAATTATTTGACAAAATTTTGACTCAATAAAACGACTCAATGGAAAGCCAAAAAGAACAAACGTGTTAGTAATCCCCCCAGACTTAACTTGCACCGTCCCGGTGTAAGAAAAATCAAATTAAGAAGGGTGAAAGGAAAAGTGAAAGGAAAAAGTTAAGGTTTGTAGAAAATTGTACCAAATGTGTGGCCATCAAATCTCTTGTGTTGTGAGGTTGTGTCGGGTAACCTTCGGGGAAGGTTAGGCCGCCAGATCTCTTTTGTGTGTGAGGTTGTGTTGGGTAACCTTCGGGGAAGGATATGCCAACAGATCTCTTTTCTGTGTAAGATTGTGATGGGTGACCTTCGGGGAAGGTTATGCCGTCAGATCTTGTTTGTGTAGATGCATATCTATTCATTAGGTGATGTGAGATTGTGGATGGCTATGCCGCCAAATCTCATAGATACATCGGTTGTGGGGTTATAGCATGGCTATGCCGCTAAACCTCGAGTGCATACTAACATGGTGGTGCGTGAGGCCCATATGTTGAGTATGACTCCGATGTGGAAAGATCACGGACGGCTGAGCCGCCAGATCTTTCGAGGTTCTTGTGGGGTACTCTTCCGAGGCAAGGGAAGCTCTGCCGCAGAACCGGTGGTATGAGGCATAGTGGTGCGTAAAGGCCCATATGCTAAGTACTGAGAACATGTGGCGTGTCTAACCACATGTTGTCTAGGAAGGTGTAGTCAAGCGCATTCTCGCACGTCAGAGCCCAACCGGATTGGCAGCGTGGATGCTGTGCATGAAGGGAGGAAGACTCGGAGGATAACCTGGTCAGCTGCCTTGGCCGAGTATGGTACCATATGACGATATGGGATCCAACCAGACATTGGCATGGTGCGCCAGTAAGGCCAATAGATGGAAGGATGAACCGGGTACCGCGATGGACTGTAGTGCCCGGGTGAAGACGTTCATCTAGTTTCTGTGTGATTCCGGATAAGCGTGAACCTTCACAGGCGTGGGCAGAGAATGTGGCTAATGCACCTAGGCGCCTTATTGCATATAGAAAACAAGTATTAGATACTTGTCTAGGTTTGCATGGGCATTGCATATAGATTGCTTGTTTGTATGTTGTTATAGTCTTGGATTGATCGTACCTGTTCTTGTTTGATTGGGGTACGGTTAGTCTTAAGGCTATAGCATCATTATTGTGTGTGATTGCATATGTTGTGTTGTGCTAACCTCATTGCAGGTGCAGGTGGGGTTAGAAGCCCGCGGCGTTTGTGTTTGGAGTTTAGGGAATCCTCCTTTTGTTTAATGTTTTCAGGTGACCGTAGAGGTGTGAAGTAGAGCGGACAGCTGCAGGCAGTAGGCACCAGAATAGTTTTGTGGTATGTTTTTGTAAAATTATGGTTTGGAACTAAGGATCGATCCGCATGTTTTTTTTAAATAAGTCGGATTTTGTAAGCATTCTGATATTTTAATAAAGGAAAGTTTTATGTAAAGACCTTATGTTCCAATGATATTAGCTTGGTCCGGGCTAACACAACTCCTGACCGAAGTACGGGTTGGCAAGCCTTAGGCTTTGGTCAAGAGGGTCGAGTTCGTGGGACGAGCTGACCTAGGCTCTGATTTGTTCTTAGTCTGGGATGGCCTATTCGGCGAACATCGACATTTTGTAGCGCTTCTCGGAACGTCTGTGCCTAGGACGGTTCGGGGGTGTTACACCGTCGCTTTGTTAAAAAAGGAAAAATCTGAACGTTGTGTTAATAAATGAGATGGAATTGTACAACATCGTCTTGAATGTATGTAGATATATAAGGGAAATATAAAATAATAAGATGAAAAGAGATAAATAAAGTGGTAAATATTTAGGATGTAATAATTCTTATCGAGTTCATTTCGCATGTTTTCTATCCATTAAATTAGCATCAGCATTTGTGGCATCCAGACCGTTTGTTTAACAGCTTGAGCAAAACGAAAATTCGCACAACTTGGGGGAATAGGAGAAATCGAATCCCAATTTGATTCGATATCTAGTCTTCTGAAATGAAATTAATTTGACGAATCCATCGGATCATAGCACATCTTTTATGCATCTTTTGCATAGTTTTAGCTTCCATTTGCATCATATCTTGTTCCTTTTCTCTTCTTATGCATTCATGTTAGTTTTAGGTTGCATTTGCATACATATGCATGTTTGGTCCTTTGAAATAGGTCTTTTGGAGCATTCTGGAGCATATGGGACAAGGAGCATGGAGGGACTTGGCACATGGAAGCAGCTCAACTGGATACGCAAAGGAAGAAGGGAGAAGCCATCTTGAAGACCAGCTCGACCGTCCACTCGACCAACCGGTCGAGTTCCTCAACTCGACCGGCCAAGCTTCAACTCGATCGAGCTGGGGAGTCAAAGTCAAACCCGAAAAATGTTGCTTCCCCCTTGACTTTCCTTTGACCCTAAACCTAATCCTCTTGTATTTAAAGGCTCTAAGCCACGAAAAAACCACCAAGCTTTAGATTACTTTTGTTTTAGTTTCTTTTAATTTATTGTACTTTTACTTTTTAGAGATCTAATCCCATCTTTGTGTTCTTGAAGCTCTTGCTTCTTGAATCTTAGATCCTGGATAATCTCTCTTGTATTTGCACTTGCTTATTTCAATAAAAGTTGTTTAATTTCATCTCCTCTTTCTTATGATGTCTCTTTTATTGCATTTGCTTGTGTTTACATTCATGTGTAGTGAGTAGTTACCCATTGGGGTTTGAGATGGGATAGATTAGAGGTTTCATATGCTTAATCCTTCTAGCTTATGGTCTTAATCTAGATTCTCTCTCTTTTGGATAGATCTTAAGGCTACATGACCACTACCCCTGGCTTGTAAGTCCTTAGGCGACTCCCCACACGAAAGTGATGGCATTCGCTGGAAAAGATCCACTAAGAGCTCCAATATCTCTTGCTCTAGACAATAGAGGTCTAAGGGGTTGGATGGATTAGTTTGGGCAATGATCCTATAGCCTCCAAGGTTTGATTCTCACTGGCTAACCCCCTGTTTCTGAGATCATTCCTTGGTTGATAGCCTCCACCTTGGGAAAGGGTTGGCTAGGCATTGAGAAGCCCAATATCAAGAGAAGCCTTGATACAAGGAGTTTTAAGAGCTAGATTGATTAAGTGTAGATTCCTTTGATTGCAAAACCCTGTCTTGAACCCTAATTCTCTCTTTATCTTGTTAAAGTCGTCACCTTTAGCTTTGTTTGTCTCAACTCGTCCCTAAACTCGATCGAGCTGGTACTTTGCTCTACTCGACTCGAGCTCTTGGTCGAGCTGACACTTCACTGCTTTGTTTACTTTTATTGCACTGCTTTTCATTTTTTTAGGTTGTTAGTGTTACTTCAAATCTATAACTGCTTGCTTGACTTTCTGGTTGTTTCATATTCTCAAAGAGTGACAAGTTTCCCATTTTGGATTGATAACCTCTTATACTTCAATGACTATGATGGTTAAGAGGAATTGATTGATTGTGTTTGCATCTTACCATCATCTTTATTACCACTGTTTGCATTCCACCTCATTTCATATCACACACACACAAAATCCTATCATCAATTTGGCGCCGTTGCCGATTTGGGAATATTTTTGTTGCATTTGAGTTTCAAACACACTTGGACGATCAAGCTATACCACCCCTGTTCTATTGTACTGCTGGGTTTTTGTCTCTTTTTGCAGGTGTATGCGAACTCGATCGAGTCGGTCTACTGAAGACTTGGTCGAGCTAGACATTACAACGGGTAGAAAGAGGGTTCAGAGGTCACAGAGGGTACAAGAGGAACCTGAGGTGCTTGTTGCTGATACAATGGATGTACCAGAGGGGAATGGAAACCCTTTGGGCAATGGACTCGGTCGAGCTAGGCAAACTCGACCGATTGGTCAAGGAGATGCTCCAAACCGCCACCAACAGAGACAAGGGATTGTTCCACCACCAGTGCAGAACCACAACTTTGAGATCAAGCTGGGAATGATCAACCTTGTCCAGAACAAGATGTTCCATGGATTGCCAAGTGAAGACCCCATTGACCACCTTGATGAGTTTGATAGGCTTTGTGATTTGACAAAGATCAATGGTGTCTCTGAAGATGCCATCAAGCTGAGACTCTTTCCTATGTCTCTAGCTGACAAAGCTCACCAATGGGAGAAGAGCTTGCCCCATGGCACAATCACCACTTGGGATGAATGCAAGAAGGCCTTTCTTGCTAAGTTTTTCTCCACCGGTCGCACAGCCAAGCTTAGAGGAGAGATATCCAGCTTCATCCAGCGAAACAATGAGACATTCGCAGAGGCTTGGGAGAGGTTCAAAGGCTACACAAGTCAGTGCCCACACCATGGATTCAACAATGAATCCTACTCTCCACTCTTTATAGAGGATGCTTGCCTAGGTATAGGGAGATGCTAGACACAGCTAGCAATGGGAACTTCCTCAACCAGGATGTAGATGATGGCTGGCAACTTGTGGAGAACATAGCTAACTCAAATGGAAGCTATGGAGAAGAGTATGATCGCACCAACCGGAGCTCGACCCACCACTCGATCGAGTCAGACGAAAAGTTGAGAAAAGATGTTAAGGCATTGAATGAGAAGTTGGATAAGCTGATCCTAGCTCAGTCCACAATGAAGAAAGTCAACTTTGTGTCTGCTGAGGAGATGGAACCAGTCCAAGAAGGGGAGGATACACAATTTGCTGAGGTGTGCTACATGAGCAATGGGCAAGGAGGTTACAACAAAGGATACTATAATTACAAGTCCAACCCTGCCATGTCATACCGCAACACTGATGTTGCTAACCCTCAGGACCAAGTATATCCTCAACAACAAGCAGCTCGATCGAGTCAGGTGCCACAACATGGGTATGGTCAAAAGAACAATTACCAAGGACCACAAGGCACTTTCCCTGGACAACAAATGAATATCCCACCAGGCTTCCCCCACCAACCGCCCCAGCCTGCACCTTCACAAGAGAATGAGCTCAAAGCAATGCTAAAGCAACTACTTCAAGGGCAAGCTGATGGGGTAGTGGACACAAGCAAGAAGCTAGCTGAAATAAACTCTAAGATCGAGAACCTCAACACAAGGGTTTACTCTCTGGAGAATCATGCTTCTTCTGTTGCTGCTGCTACAAAGCAAGGACAACTACCTGGTAAAGCTATTCAGAACCCCAAGGAACAGTGCAAGGTCATCTTCACTCAAGAAGGACTTGTTGAAGAAGAGGATCAAGAAAGGGTCATTGAAGATTTTTGTTTACTGCTGAATGATGAAGAGATTGTTGCTGCTGAGGCTCCTGGAGTCCAGATTGATCAACCAGAAGTGCATGCACCTACTGTGGCCATTCACACTTCACCAGTTGAGCTCGCACGACAAGCTCGATCGGCAGCTCGATCGAGTCCAACTCTAGCTCGATCGAGTCCGACCTCTTCTGTCCGACAGCCTGTTTTGCTTGATCCTTATCAACCGGTTGCCGCTTCCTCGTCTCGCCTACTTAGTCAAGGTCACAAGGAAGTGATTCACAAGTTCAGAAGAGATCTCAGTGGGATTGGAATTGAGTTGCCTCCTATGGATAGCATGAGTGAGGCATTTGATCAAATGCAAATGGTCAAGGATGTTCTAGCCAACAGTGATAAAGTTTCAGAGGTCCTACAAGAGTCTACTCATCAGTTCAACCTGCTTACTTCACCCACCTTCCTACCAAAGGTCAAGGATCAAGGGAAATTCACTCTCCCTTGCACACTTGGGCATCTTGAGATTGACAATGCCTTAGTGGATTCTGGAGCAAGCATCAATCTGATCTCTCTCTCCATGGCAGAGAAGCTAGGCATGCTGGAGCCTTGCAGCGCCCTACTACTTCAATCATGTTTGGAGATGCAACTTCTAAGTCTCCTCTTGGAGTGTTCAAGAACTATCACTTGAAAATTGGAGAATGCATCATCCAAACTGATCTCACTGTGATGGAAATGGAAGAAGAGAAGGATTTGCCTCTGTTATTGGGAACCCCTTTCCTTAGTACAGTTGGCGCTTCAATAGACTTTCACAAGCAAGAAGTGATCCTTCACAAGGTGAATAGTTTGGTGTCATATCGCTTGCAGCCTAGAGGTTCAGACTTTTGTGCCACAATTGACAGTACCAATCTCAGTTCTAAGAGTCATGGAGCTACAAAGGTTGTGAAGGAAAGGGTTGACAAGGAACCAAGAGTTGGGAAGGATAAGGATGAGAGAGGACCAAGGATTGAGAAGCCACGTCTTGAGAGGGCTAGAGTTGAGAAACCACGATCTGATAGGCCAAGAGCTGAGAGACTTGTTCAAGCCCCTTGTGTGCTTGATGAAGAGAGCCTTCAAGCTTTGTTTGATGAGCCACTAGGAAGGGCTCTAAAAGAAGGGGAGGATGCAGCCTCTAAGGCAAGACCAGGAGATAAAAGAAAGGATCCACCAGCTCAGGCCCCTTCAGTCAAGCCATCTCAGCTCACAATGACTTTGTTCCCCACCAAGTTTGAAAATGGGAAGATTGAGTACAAGATAAGGTACAAGGGGAGATCAAGGCCATTCTCTAGAGCCAAGGCCTTGGTGACTTCAGAACAGTCCAGGGACCCAACCAAGCTAAAGGAGCTTCTGTCTCAAGTCCTCACTATCACCCTTGATGGTGGGACTAGCTCAACCAATGCCTAAGAAGGTAAAGGTCAAGCTATGGGACCTTAAACAAGCTCACTTGGGAGGAAGTCCCATGTTTATCCTTGTACATACTCTATTTATGCAATTTCTATCTATCTTTATGTGTTTTAACCTTTGAATAAGTTAAGTTTAGGTGTCAAGGAGCCAGCTCGACCGACAGCTCGATCGAGCTAGAAACCAGGGCAACTCGATCGAGCTACACAACTCGACCGAGGTAAGTTTTTGAATTTCAAATTCATAACCGTTTTCTTGGTCAAGGGAGTGGGTCCCACAAGCTGATTTTGGTCCCCCACTACCCTAATTTGATCAGAGAATCCCTAGCTTCTTGTTCCCTCTTTATTTCATCTTTTAATCTCAACCACACATCTCAAACACCCCTCTTCCCCATAACTCGATCGAATCCACTCTCTCTCCATCTCTCTCTCCACACATCAAAATTTCTGAACTCATCTCATCTCTCTCTTCACCACAAGAAATTTCGATTTCAATCTTTCTCTCTTAAGTTTTTGCGATTTCCTTGTTCTTCATTGTTTTGCTTGGGTTTTGTTTACTGCTCTTCAATTCCATCATTCAACAAGGTATGAACCCTAAAACCCTTGATTCATCCATCTCGATTTCCATTATTGCTTGTTTCTCTTTGATTTTTGATTGCATGTGTCCCTTGTGGACTTTTCTTGAGTAATTGCTTATCATTTCTGCCTCATATTTGTATAATCTTGTTAATTTGCCTCACCTCACCTCTGTTTTGCCTTTAAACTTGTTGCATGTGCTTGAAAGATTGAATTTGAGTTTGGTTTGGTTAAGATGCTTAGTTTCTCACTAGAATTGCTCATTGTTCCATTTACTAGTTGTTCTTGGTTCAATTTGTTGATTAGCATCCTTTCCAGCTCTTAATCTTGAATTAGGTTTGGTTATACTCTGTTTTCACCCAACTCGATCGAGTTTGTCACTCGAGTTTTTTGACTCGATCGAGCTGAGTGTCGAGTTGACCAAACCGATCATTACAACTCTAATTCTTTGTAATCTTTGATGCATTTCAGGTACTTTAGTGAAGAAACAGAGTAACAAGGATGACAAACAGTGAGGGAAGCCGCGCTTCACAGAGGAGAATGGTTGAGGGTGAGTCAAGCAATGCAAGAGAGAAGGCTTAAGATGCAAGCCGATTTGAAGAGGATGGATCAGAGGATGGAAGTCTGATGCAGAGGAGTATGTCTACTCTGAGGAACAGTCTGAGAGTGAGAGATTGAGGGAAGAAAGGAGAACCAAGAAGAGGAATGACCCTATAGTAGTGAGAGTGAGCAAGGGGAGTTTGAGATTGGAGTGAACCTTGTTCAAGAGGGGGAAATGGCTCTCCCTGAGAGTGAAGAGGAAGGAGAAGAGGTGAACCAATTGGTTGATGAAGATGACCAAGAGGGGAACCAAGATGAGCCAATGGAAGAGGTTGAGGAAGAGCAAGAGGAGGATGAGCTCCCCATGTACCAAGAGCACTACAATGCTCTCTTCTCCATGGACTTTGTGGAGACAAGTACCCACATGATGACACCATGAGAGATCTTGGAATCTTTGAGGATGTGGAGTTGGTGCTCAAGAACATGCAATTGGAAGTTCTTCTCTCACCGCATGGAGTCTTACAAGGAGTTGACTTGTGAGTTTTTGGCGTCGATGAAGCATCACGAGATTGATGAGCTCGATCGAGCTGTTTGGGTTCACCTATGGAGAAGGTAACCTATGGAACATCAAGGAAGAAGAACTCCAAAGGAGTTGGGCTACAATCGCTGAAGAGGGGTACTCTTCCTCAAGGTCCAAGGCTGCTCAGATCAGAGTCCTGTGCTTAGATATGTGCACAAGGCTCTTGCCAACACCTTCTTTGCAAGGAAAGCCACTGGACAATCAATGAGGGAGAAGTGAAGCTCCTTACATGGGAATCAAGCCTATCATCTCACGCACAAGGATGGGAAGAAGATCAGAGGAGACAGGGCACACGCAGGGAATCTCATGCCTCTCCTTGAGCAGCTCCAAGCCTACAAGTCACAGCTTACAACACTAGGCACCAAAGAGGAAGGAAAGCTTAGTGTTGGAGGGGTGATCACACCAATTCTTTGTGCAGCAGGAGTTCAAGTGGACAAGAGAAGGTCTACTCCACCAGGTTGGATGGACATCAAGTTTTGCAAGACCAACCTCCTCATTGAGCACAAGGAGTTGGATGGGAGATTCCAATTCAAATTCACCCACCCACGGCTGGACCTCCAAGCTTCTTCTGCCCAACCCTGAGCTCACCACGGTCCTAGGAGGTACAAACATTGACTTCAGACCCCCTGTGTACACTTTGGTTGGGCATGAAGCAGATTTGCAAGAAGAAGAGATCGAGCTCGATCGAGCTGAGGATCGAGCTGAGGCTCAAGCTGAAGATGGAGTGCAGGAAAGCGCTGACTTGGGTGAGCCTGAGTGCTATTACTTTGAGGAGTATGAGGCTCCAAGGATGAACCCCTCTGTTGTGGCTGCTCACAAGAGGATTGGACTTCTCCAAAAGCTCACCAAGTGGCAAGGGAAGGCCATGGACAAGATGCAAAAGTCCATGGATAAGATGGTGAGCAAGATCAAGAGCTTGGAGAAGAAAGTATCTGGTTCTTCAAGCAAGAAAAAGAAGGCACCCAAAGCTCCCACTTTCCCTAGGAGTAGGTCACTCCTCACCACTCAAAGGAGACTCCCTGCCCAAGAGCCTCACAGAGCCTCTTCTTTCGAGCCAAGGGAAGGAGAAGACAACACGCAGAAGGAGGAAGACTTCCAAGGCCAGACGCTCCAGCTCGACCACCGGACTCGATTGAGTCCAAACAGAGGAAACTCAACTCGATCGAGCTGACGGTCGAGCTGACCAGGAGGAGCCCCAGTTCGAGGATCCAGGATTTGAATACGATCCCATGCCTTACCAGGAGCCTCCCCGGAGTAGATGGAACCCCTATGGACAGTACGAGCTACCAATGCTTCACCAAGGCCAAGGAAGCCACACACATTTCAACGCTGAAGAAGAGGAGGAAGAGGAGCCACAAGCTTGTTTACTTTGTTCTTAGTTTTTCATTTAGCTTGGGGGAGGGTTCAAGAGATGATTTAACCTTGTTTTCTTTGTTCTTAGTTTTTCATTATCTTTTGCATAGAAAAACCAAAAAAATCATAAAATTTTCAAAAAATCCAAAAATATTTTCATCTTTTTGCATTCATATTTGTTAGACTTGTTTAGGATTGCATTTTTCACTTGCATTGTTGATTTGACTTTGAAAACTTGTTCATCTTTTGCGATTTCTTGAGTGCCCTGTTTTTAGATTCTTTTGTGCATTAGGGTGAGATTGATTGAGCAGCAAGAACCATGTTTATCTTGATCATATCACTGCATGCACATCTCATTCAACCATTGCTGTGATTTGATGCATTTCCCTATCTATTGAACCATAACTTGATCTTTAATTACCAATGCTTGCATTTGATTTCAACTCATGGCTACCACATACATATCTGGACATTCTTTACCATTTTCATATCCCTTTGCTTGTCCAGATAGCTGATCTCCATCTTTGAGACAGTTACCACACCTTAAACCTAAGCCTTTTCATTTCAAACCCCATTTATCTCTTGTGCGATTGTGAGAACCTTTCTTGGCTTTGCTTAGCATAAGGTGTTGTGTTTAAACCGGCAGGGGCAGTAGTTCTAGTTGTCTAGTTCTCTTGGGATTGTTTTCAGGCTAAGTTTGGGGGTGCCAACTCGAGCTCGATCGAGTTGGGTGTAAAAACCAGAAAAGTGGTAAAAAGTTGGGAAAATCCAAAGGAAAAAGAGTTTAGTTAAGTCCAGGGAGTTGGCAGTGTTTAAAAAGGGTCTAGTAAAGGTTTGGGAAGTTAAAAAAGGAAAGTAAAAAGGGTTCTAAGTAGAATGAAAAGAAGGCAAAGCCTCAAGTGTCAAAAAGGAAAGAAAAGTTCCCTAAGTGTTTAGAAAATCCCAAACCGCTAGATGTTACCTCAAGAAGCCTCTCCCTAGGAAGTTCTTAAAAGAAAAGTGAGCAAAGCTCCTCAGTTTCAAAGGCGAAATGCCAAAAAGGGTAGTTAGGATTTTGTTCTAAAAAGCTCTAAGTGTTGAACTCGATCGAGTTAGGATTAGGCGGCTCGAGCTGCTGTTCTTGCATCATCTTTGGTTCTAACACTTAGCCTTCTGCCAAAGCAAAGCCACTTTCTTGAGAGATCCCTGTTACTAAACCACCATACAAAAGAGACCCTCTTTGTCTCTTAACCCATAAACCCTTGAAACCAAATGAGTTGATTGATCTTGCATGTTTTTGGTTCACTGTTTTTGCTTAATGAATGTTAAAGGGATTTGCTGATTTGAATGCATTGTTTGAGTGACTGTGAAGTGGGATTGATGTTGATAAGCATGGTTAAATCTTAATGAATATCTCTCACCTTGTTGCATTCTAGAATCTCTAAGTTGGACATTTAGCAAATCGCTTTTGAGGACATGTTTTTAAGTGTTGAATCAGCTATTTTCAAACCTCATCTCTTTCTTGTTCTATTTGTTTGCTTGAGGGCAAGCAAAGTTCAAGTTTGGGGGTGTTGATGTACTTGCATTTTACATAGTTTTAGCACATCTTTTATGCATCTTTTGCATAGTTTTAGCTTTCCATTTGCATCATATCTTGTTCCTTTTCTCTTCTTATGCATTCATGTTAGTTTTAGGTTGCATTTGCATACATATGCATGTTTGGTCCTTTGAAATAGGTCTTTTGGAGCATTCTGGAGCATATGGGACACAAGGAGCATGGAGGGACTTGGCACATGGAAGCAGCTCAACTGGATACGCAAAGGAAGAAGGGAGAAGCCATCTTGAAGACCAGCTCGACCGTCCACTCGACCAACCGGTCGAGTTCCTCAACTCGACCGGCCAAGCTTCAACTCGATCGAGCTGGAAGTCAAAGTCAAACCCGAAAAATGTTGCTTCCCCCTTGACTTTCCTTTGACCCTAAACCTAAAATCCTCTTGTATTTAAAGGCTCTAAGCCACGAAAAAACCACCAAGCTTTAGATTATTTTGTTTTAGTTTCTTTTAATTTATTGTCTTTTACTTTTTAGAGATCTAATCCCATCTTTGTGTTCTTGAAGCTCTTGCTTCTTGAATCCTAGATCCTGGATAATCTCTTTGTATTTGCACTTGCTTATTTCAATAAAAGTTGTTTAATTTCATCTCCTCTTTCTTATGATGTCTCTTTTATTGCATTTGCTTGTGTTTACATTCATGTGTAGTGAGTAGTTACCCATTGGGGTTTGAGATGGGATAGATTAGAGGTTTCATATGCTTAATCCTTCTAGCTTATGGTCTTAATCTAGATTCTCTCTCTTTTGGATAGATCTTAAGGCTACATGACCACTACCCCTGGCTTGTAAGTCCTTAGGCGACTCCCCACACGAAAGTGATGGCATTCGCTGGAAAAGATCCACTAAGAGCTCCAATATCTCTTGCTCTAGACAATAGAGGTCTAAGGGGTTGGATGGATTAGTTTGGGCAATGATCCTATAGCCTCCAAGGTTTGATTCTCACTGGCTAACCCCCTGTTTCTGAGATCATTCCTTGGTTGATAGCCTCACCTTGGGAAAGGGTTGGCTAGGCATTGAGAAGCCCAATATCAAGAGAAGCCTTGATACAAGGAGTTTTAAGAGCTAGATTGATTAAGTGTAGATTCCTTTGATTGCAAAACCCTGTCTTGAACCCTAATTCTCTCTTTATCTTGTTAAAGTCGTCACCTTTAGCTTTGTTTGTCTCAACTCGTCCCTAAACTCGATCGAGCTGGTACTTTGCTCTACTCGACTCGAGCTCTTGGTCGAGCTGACACTTCACTGCTTTGTTTACTTTTATTGCACTGCTTTTCATTATTTTTAGGTTGTTAGTGTTACTTCAAATCTATAACTGCTTGCTTGACTTTCTGGTTGTTTCATATTCTCAAAGAGTGACAAGTTCCCATTTTGGATTGATAACCTCTTATACTTCAATGACTATGATGGTTAAGAGGAATTGATTGATTGTGATTGCACCATCATCATATTCACCCCTGTTTGCATTCCACCTCATTTCATATCACTTCACACACACACAAATCCTATCATCAATTTGGCGCCGTTGCCGATTTGGGAATATTTTTGTTGCATTTGAGTTTCAAACACACTTGGACGATCAAGCTATACCACCCCTGTTCTATTGTACTGCTGGGTTTTTGTCTCTTTTTGCAGGTGTATGCGAACTCGATCGAGTCGGTCAACTGAAGACTTGGTCGAGCTAGACATTACAACGGGTAGAAAGAGGGTTCAGAGGTCACAGAGGGTACAAGAGGAACCTGAGGTGCTTGTTGCTGATACAATGGATGTACCAGAGGGGAATGGAAACCCTTTGGGTAATGGACTCGGTCGAGCTAGGCAAACTCGACCGATTGGTCAAGGAGATGCTCCAAACCGCCACCAACAGAGACAAGGGATTGTTCCACCACCAGTGCAGAACCACAACTTTGAGATCAAGCTGGGAATGATCAACCTTGTCCAGAACAAGATGTTCCATGGATTGCCAAGTGAAGACCCCATTGACCACCTTGATGAGTTTGATAGGCTTTGTGATTTGACAAAGATCAATGGTGTCTCTGAAGATGCCATCAAGCTGAGACTCTTTCCTATGTCTCTAGCTGACAAAGCTCACCAATGGGAGAAGAGCTTGCCCCATGGCACAATCACCACTTGGGATGAATGCAAGAAGGCCTTTCTTGCTAAGTTTTTCTCCACCGGTCGCACAGCCAAGCTTAGAGGAGAGATATCCAGCTTCATCCAGCGAAACAATGAGACATTCGCAGAGGCTTGGGAGAGGTTAGGTTCAAAGGCTACACAAGTCAGTGCCCACACCATGGATTCAACAATGAATCCCTACTCTCCACTCTTTATAGAGGATGCTTGCCTAGGTATAGGGAGATGCTAGACACAGCTAGCAATGGGAACTTCCTCAACCAGATGTAGATGATGGCTGGCAACTTGTGGAGTACCATAACTCAAATGGAAGCTATGGAGAAGAGTATGATCGCACCAACCGGAGCTCGACCCACCACTCGATCGAGTCAGACGAAAAGTTGAGAAAAGATGTTAAGGCATTGAATGAGAAGTTGGATAAGCTGATCCTAGCTCAGTCCACAATGAAGAAAGTCAACTTTGTGTCTGCTGAGGAGATGGAACCAGTCCAAGAAGGGGAGGATACACAATTTGCTGAGGTGTGCTACATGAGCAATGGGCAAGGAGGTTACAACAAAGGATACTATAATTACAAGTCCAACCCTGCCATGTCATACCGCAACACTGATGTGGCTAACCCTCAGGACCAAGTATATCCTCAACAACAAGCAGCTCGATCGAGTCAGGTGCCACAACATGGGTATGGACAAAAGAACAATTACCAAGGACCACAAGGCACTTTCCCTGGACAACAAATGAATATCCCACCAGGCTTTCCCCCACCAACCGCCCCAGCCTGCACCTTCACAAGAGAATGAGCTCAAGCAATGCTAGAACTGAGCTAAAACTACTTCAAGGGCAAGCTGATGGGGTAGTGGACACAAGCAAGAAGCTAGCTGAAATAAACTCTAAGATCGAGAACCTCAACACAAGGGTTTACTCTCTGGAGAATCATGCTTCTTCTGTTGCTGCTGCTACAAAGCAAGGACAACTACCTGGTAAAGCTATTCAGAACTCCAAGGAACAGTGCAAGGTCATCTTCACTCAAGAAGGACATGTTGAAGAAGAGGACCAAGAAAGGGTCATTGATGATTTTTGTTTACTGCTGAATGATGATGAAGAGATTGTTGCTGCTGAGGCTCCTGGAGTCCAAATTGATCAACCAGAAGTGCATGCACCTACTGTGGTCATTCACACTTCACCAGTTGAGCTCGCACGACAAGCTCGATCGGCAGCTCGATCGAGTCCAACTCTAGCTCGATCGAGTCCGACCTCTTCTGCCCGACAGCCTGTTTTGCTTGATCCTTATCAACCGGTTGCCGCTTG